GGGTGTCACTGGGGACATGGTGGGTGTCATTGGGGGCATGGTGGGTGTCACTGGGGGCATGGTGGGTGTCAATGGGGGCATGGGGGCTGTCACTGGGGACATGGGGGGTGTCACTGGGGGCATGGGGGGGCTGAGCACCCACGGGTGCTCCCACACCCCCTTCCCCCCAGACTCACCCGCCCCGGGCTCCTTCCCCAGACCAGCGAGGAGGTGGTGAGGACGATGACGGGGCTGAAGGTGCCCCGTGGGCACCAACGTCACAACGAGACTCTCTTTGTCCCCGACTGGACCGAGAGAGCCCCGGCTGCCATGGACTGGCGCAAGAAGGGCTACGTCACCCCTGTCAAGAACCAGGTGAGCCCGGCGCTGCCAGGGGTGCCCAGAGCATGGTGTCACCCCAGTGTCACCTTGGTGTCACCCCGGTGTCACCCCGGTGTCACCCCGGTGTCGCCCTGGTGTCACCTGCCGTGTCCCCACAGGGCCAGTGTGGCTCGTGCTGGGCGTTCAGCTCAGTGGGCGCCCTGGAGGGGCAGCTGAAGAGGAAGACGGGGAAACTGCTGTCCCTGAGCCCCCAGAACCTGGTGGACTGCGTGGCCAACAACGACGGCTGCGGCGGCGGGTACATGACCAACGCCTTCGAGTACGTGCGGCAGAACCGCGGCATCGACTCCGAGGACGCCTACCCCTACATCGGCCAGGTGGGGCGGGGGAACGGGCCCCACACCTCCCTCCCTCCACCCCCCTCACCCCCATCTCACCTCCCCCTCCCCGGCAGGACGAGAGCTGCATGTACAGCCCCACCGGGAAGGCGGCCAAGTGCCGCGGCTACCGCGAGATCCCCCAAGGCAACGAGAAGGCCTTGAAGAGGGCGGTGGCCCGGATCGGCCCCATCTCTGTGGGCATCGACGCCAGCCTGCCCTCCTTCCAGTTCTACAGCCGGGGTGAGGGGCTGGGGGGCACGCTGGGGCGCTGGGGCTGCCCGGGGAAGCCGAGGTGGTGACAGCCCCGTGTCCCCAGGGGTTTACTACGACGAGAACTGCAACGCGGAGAACATCAACCACGCCGTGCTGGCCGTGGGCTACGGGGCACAGAAGGGCACCAAGCACTGGATCATCAAGAACAGGTACACTGGGGGCGGGACGGCGGGATGGCCGGTCACCGGCTCGGGAATTGCTCTTCCGGAGGCTCAGGCTCTGCTTTTCCACCCCCCAGCTGGGGCGAGGAGTGGGGCAACAAGGGCTACGTCCTCCTGGCCCGCAACATGGACAACGCCTGCGGCGTGGCCAACCTGGCCAGCTTCCCCAAGATGTGACACCCCGGCCCTTCCCTCCCCACTTCCCGGCCTTCCAACTCGGCCTCTTCCCTCCCGGTCTCGAAGGACAGCGCTCCCGGGGGGAATTCTGCGACTCCACCAGAAATTTCCCCTGGGAAAGGGGAGGGAACCCCTCACCCAGCTGCAGTGAATGGAGGGACGAGCTCCCCCCAGCTCTGTTTTCCTGGGAATTCTCTGCCGTGCTGGCTCCTGCCTTCCCATGGATCATGCTTGGCCAGATCCACGAAGGCCGATCCGTCCAGAGATGCTTCAGGAAATGGGTCCCAGGCCAACCTCTGCCTCCCGGAATACTGGGGAACAGTGGATGTGGAATATTCCCAACGGAGAGCACAGATCCCTATCGCTCCACCCTGTATCCCAGTGGAGGCTGCTGAGAATGATACGACTATTTTTCAAATAAAATTGGGAATAAAAGCTGGGACCAGTTTGCTCCGTGCTGGGAAGGGGTCACAGGGATGGGAAAAGTCCTTCCCTTTCCCAAGGGGGCAGGACCCCCGTGGTGGGGCAGAACTGGGAGAGAAGGTGCTGCTGGGGAATTTTTGGATGGACAGACGGACGGAAGATCTGGGCCTGGGGGAAGGACACGTGGAAGGACAGATGGATGGATGGATGAATCCACAGGAGTCCCCCAACCCCATCAGGGCCTCACAAACACCTCCCCTGGGGACTGTCAGCCACAGCTGGGGGGCAACATGGGGCTGTAGGGACATGGGGAGCCCCTGGGATCATGGCAATGGGGGGGAATGCGGGTGACAGTGACACTGTGGGGCCATGAGAATCCTGGGGCTTTGGGGAGAGGGGGGGAAAAAAGAGACCCCCTGGGGACAAGAGGCCACGGGCACCCCGTGTGGGTGAGGAGGTGGCCACAGCACACCCCAAAACCAAACACAGGTATCACACCGGGCCCGACACACCCTGACAGCACAAACACCCCAACACCCACCCACACCCCGGCACACCCCGGAATGGGGGCACGGGGGGGCCCCCAAAAAACAATGGGGACACTGACAAACAGGGGCGGGGCCCCGAAACAGTGGAGACACTGAGACACAGTGTGGGGGGAACCCAAAACAATGACACAATGCCCCCCCCCAACCCCAAACAATGGGGACACTCAGAGGTGACAACACAGCATCTTTATTGCCCCACTCATGCCGGGGGTGGGGGGGTTCACTCGTCGTGGCCGGGGGGTGGGGGGGCCACGGCGGCCCCCAGGGTCACCTGGCTCAGGTAGGCGTTGTCGAAGCAGCGGCGCCGCTCGGGCTCCTCCCACGAGCAGCAGCCCTGGGGGTCCCGCCAGGCGTCCTCGGGGGCGGCACAGAGTGTGGTGATGGCCTGGGACAGCTGGGGACAGCGGGGAGGGGGGGTCAGGGTGGCCGTGGGGGTCCCCCAGAGCCGCTGACACCCCCCCACACACCCCTCGGTCACTCACCTGCTCCCGGGCACAGACCCCGCGCTCCTCGGGGGCGAGGGGGCAACACGCGGCCGTCATGGCCCCAAAAAGCTCCGGCACGGGCCGCCTGCGGACACGGACAGGGCGTGTCACGGGGAGGGGTCAACTCGGGGCGGGGGGGGCCTGGGAGAGGGGGTGGACTCCTGGGAACCCCCCTGAGAGGGGTCCCTGAGCACTGGAGGGTCCCCGATGTCCGGGTCCGCTCTGGGATGGGGAGTCCCGGGTCCCCTCCAGCATCAGGGATTGTGGGGTGCCGGAGGGGGGGTGTGGGTGTTTTGGGGGTCACCCACCTCTGCGTGAAGAGGCGGGTGGGGCCGCAGAGCGAGCGCAGCAGGGCGGGGCCGGGCCGGACCAGGCTCACGTTGTGCAGCTCCCGGTCGTAGGCGGGGACGGGGGCGGCGGCGGCGAAGCAGCGGCCCCGGGCCCGGAGACCCCTGCGCTGGCAGCACCAGTGGTGCCTCGTCTTCACCGCCGACTCCTCCCGGCAGAACCGATTCATCCCCTTCAGCCACTGCGGGGCAAAGACGGGGGTCAGGGGGTCCCCCTCGGACCTCTGGGTCCCTCCCAGGCACCTGAGTCCCCTCCAAGCCCTGGGTCGTTTCCCGGACGCCTCCGCCCCTCCCCGTCTGGGTCCCTCCCTGAAAGGTTTGTCACCCCCGCAGACACCTGGGTGCCTCCCCCGCCTCTGGGTCACGCTCCGGGCACCTCGGTCATTGGCGGGGCACCCGGGGCCCCTCCCCGGATGGCGGGGGCCCTCCCAAACAAACGGGGCCCCTCCCCGGATACCTGAGGGCCAGCCCAAACACCTGGGTCCCTTTCCGGGACTCCTGGGTTCCCCCTCCCAAATGCCTGGGTCCTCCCAGTCCTTCGACAGGCGAGACCCTCCCAAACACCTGGGTCCATTTCCCAGACTCCTGGATCCCTTTGCCAGTCACTTGTGTCCCTTTCCCGGATTCCTGGATCCCCCCAGTCCTTCGACACCCGAGTGCCCCTCATCCTCTGACTCCGGGACCCTCCCCGCCCCCGTGTCCCCCCGTGTCCCCCCTCTGCCGCACTCACGGCGCTGTGGGCGCAGCTCAGGCTCTCGTTGCGGCAGCACCGCCCGTACTCTCGCTCCAGGCGGACCCGCAGCCGGTCGCGGGGCCCGGAGGGGGCGTCGGGCGCGGGGGGGCCGGGGCGCAGCTCCCGCAGCCCGCAGATGTTGCCCAAGTTGGTTGTCGTGGGCTCCCCGGGCGGGAAGGGGGGCTCGGTGACCAGGTCCCAGGCGGTGTTGGGCTCCCAGGCGGTGTTGGGGTCCCAGGTGGGGGCCGGGGTCTCCTGGGAGAAGCAGCGGCGCCGCGCGGCCCCGTGCCGGCGGCAGCAGTGGAACTGCCGCGTCTTCACCGCGAACTCATCGGTGCAGAACCCGTCCAGCACGTCCGTCCACTGCGGAGCCCCCTCGGGGTCACTCCGGCCCCGCGGCGGCCCCGCGTCCTTCCCTCCACCGAGTCCCCGCGGGCCCCCTCCCCGCGGTGTCCCCACGCTCCCCCCGCCCCGGTGTTTCCTGCAGTGCCCCCATGTCCCCCCCCTCCAAGTGTCCTCCCCTCCAAGTGTCCCCGTGCCCCACGGTGTCCCCACATCCCACCTCCCCGCTCCCTGCAGTGTCTCTACGTCCCCCCTCCCAGTGATGTCCCCCGTCCCCGCAGTGTTCCCCCCTCCCCGCGGTGGTCACCCCTGTCCCCGCGGAGTCCCCCTGTCCCCCCGTGTCCCCCCCGTGTCCCCCCCGTGTCCCCCGTGTCCCGCACTCACGGCGCGGCGGGCACAGGGCAGCGGTGCGTGGTGCCGGCAGCAGTCGCTCATGCGGGGCCGCAGCGCGGCCAGCGCGGCCGCCTGACGGTGCAGGTGGGCGAAGGCGTTGGGGGGCAACATCGGGGGCGGGGGCACCGTGGGGGGGTCGCGGCAGTGCCGGGTCACGGCGGCGGCCACGGGCCAGGCCGGGGGGAACCCGTCCAGGGCGCTGCCCCAGGTCGGGGGGCGGCCCGAGACGGTCGTGCCCCCCCCTAACAGGATGTTGGGGGGCAGCACGGGGTCCACCTCCTGCTGCAGCACTGAAAAAGGGGGGGTGGAGGGTGGGGACACGGCGGGTGATGTCCCCCCTGCACTGTCCCCAAGTGACACTTGTCCCCATGTGCCCCCCTCTCCCCATTTGTTCCCTGTCCCAGTGTCCCTGTCTCACATTGTGGTGTCCCCCCACCCCATCCCCAACCCGCACTGTCCCCGAGTCATTCCCACCCCATGTCCCCCCTGGTCACCCACCCATGTCCCCATGTCCCTCCACCTCCAACCTCATCCCCTCCCTTCACGTCCCCACCCGTGAGCATCTCCCTCTCTCCCGTCCTGGGTGTCCCCTCGTGTCCCCCCATCCCTGGCTGTCCCCGCCTGTCCCCTCACCTTGCCCGATGTTGGTGGGCTGCAGGTCCAGGCTCTCTTGTAGCACCTGCTCGACCCGCCCCGAGGCCGCCGCTGTCACCGGTGGGGGACACGGGGGGTCAGCGGGGTCACCCCCTCCATCCCCACGCCCGTGGGGCAACGAGCAGAGACCCTCCCAAACCTGCGGGCCCAATGGAGCCCCATCCCGGGGAGGGGGCCCCAGGAGTTCGGGAAGTGGCCGCAGGAGTTTGGGACAGGGACCCCCGGGCACTCGGGAGGGCTCCAGGTGTGTGGGCAGGGACCGGCACATCCGGGGCGGGGAGCCCAGGGGCGAGGGTGGGACACCCTGGAGGTGTCCCAAATACCAGGGAGGAACTCAGGTGTCCCAGGTGGGACCCGGGAGCTCGGGAAGGGGACGCGGGTGTCCGGGAAAGAGACCCGGAGTTTCGGGAAGGGGCCCCAGGTGTCTGTGGGGAACCTCAGGTGCCCGGGGAAGGGATCCAGGAGTTCGGGAAGGGATCCAGGTGCCCGGGAAGGGATCCAGGAGTTCGGGAAAGGGATCCAGGAGTTCGGGAAGGGCAGCCAGGTGTGCGGGAAGGGGACGGGGGTGTCCGGGAAGAGGATGAGGGTGTCCGGGGGGGGCCCAGCCGTGCAGGGGGACCGTGGCTCGGGGCCTCGGGACTCACCGGCGGCGCTGAGGAGGAGGAGGAGGCCGAAGGCCGCCATGGCGTCGGGCGCTGTGGGGCTACCGCCGGCTCCGCCGCCTTATGAAGGGCCGGGGCGGGCGCGGGGCCACATCCTGCGGGCTGAGTCACGGCCTGACGTCGGGGCAGGGCCGGGGGGGGGACCCCGGGAGGGGCCGGGGGGCTGCTCCATGTCCTGCACCCCCAGACAGGGCCAGGGCCGTGACCCCCCCCCCAGACAGGCTGGGGACCCTGTCCCCACCCTGGTGGTCCCGTCCTCACCCTGGTGGTCCTGTCCCCACCTTGGTAGCCCCGGAGCCCCCTCTGGTGGCCCCAGCCCCCCCCCCCCCCCCCCCCGGCGCCAGG